GCTTTAGATCCCCTGAAAACTCCCAAGAGTAGGTGGTGGTTGTCTTCTGACATTAAAGCATCACGTGTTGCCATGTCAGCCGATTTCATAGCCCAGCCAGTAGGCGTTGGTGCAAGTTCAGGTATCTTGGTTAGGCTAAGGTTAGGGATGGGTTTGGCCAGTCGTTTCCTAAGAACGTAGCTCTCCTTCCTCTGGTGCAATTCCGTAGAGGAGGGGACGGTCATGAAGATTCTAAGATCAACACGTGACACCCGCAACGGATCTGTTGTCGGCTTCTTTGGATGAGCACTCGCCGGGAAGAAGACGTCCAGACGTCCGAACGAAGGTACGACCGGAAGAGCTCAGTGTTCTGGGATCACCGGACAGTAGACTCAACTGAACGCCTACACCAGGCTGAGCGTTACAACTGGACGCAAAGGACTGACGAGCTCCTACGAGAAGCAAGAGCCAACCAGAAGCGGACACTCCGATAAGAGAGCACGAAATGCTGGAGAGAGACCACCGCCAAAGCAACAAAAGACGGGCGCGTCCTCTGGAGCTTAGCGCGATGGGACAACTGCGCAGCCACAGCCCGACGGAGCGGCCCCAAATCCCGGACCTTCAAATCGAGGGGAACGGAAGCTGGGCACACGATGGAGGAAAAAGCACGCACCCTCCTGGAAAGATGGTTCCCGGGCACGCAACCGGAGAGCGCGCTGAGGCCGAGTCCCAGCCCCGGATGGATGAGAGGGGAAATGCCAGAGGGGACGACCCAGGATGTAGAGGCAGCCCTATGCCGACCAGGCCCATGGAAAGCTTCAGGGGCTGACGAATTACCCAATAACTTCCTATGCGCTTGTGGCCCTCCACTGATCGAGAGAATCCAGCGAGTCGACATAGCTAGCCTGGCTCTCGGATATTATCCCAAAGCTTTCAAAAAGTTATAGTGGTAGTGCTCCGAAAGCCAGGAAAAACGAAACACCAGCTTAGCTCACCAGGCGGGTAGAGATCCATCTCTCTTCTGAGCTGCGTGGGGAAGGTTCTGGAGGCTATCGTGACGAGGAAGATGACACATATGGCAGAGAAAGCGGATATACTCCCCCCTGAACAGATGGGGAACAGGGCGGGGAGGTCAACAAAACTGGTGGCTAGGTTCGCCACGGAGACGGTACGGGCCTTGTGGGAAAAGAAGCTCACTTGCTCGATTCTTCAACTGGACCTCAAAGGTGCTTTCGACCGCATCCATCACAGATGGTTAATCACAACCCCAGAAGACCAGGGATGGCCGAGATGGGTGACCCGATGGGTGACATCGTTCCTAGCGGACCGAACAGCCATTTTGACTTTCGATGACTGGGAGTCGGATCCTATACAAGTACCGGCCGGCGTACCACAAGGCTCACCCTTATCCCCCCTCTTGTTCATCCTCTACACCACTCCACTTTTCCGGAAACTGAGAGATGTCGGCGGGATAGGAACAATGAGCTTTGCAGACGACATGAATCTCCTAGCCGTCAGGAAAGAGACGGATGACTGCTGCACTGCCCTAAAGAAGGGATGGAAGTGTGCAGAAGCTGGGCAAAAGAACGGGGCATGATGTTCGAGCCCCAAAAGAGCAAGTTGATACACTTCGTCAAGACAAGGGCCGGCAACAGCCAGACCTTGACTCTTGACGGCGACGTGATCGAACCGGTAGAGGAGATCAGATTCCTGGGCATTCACCTGGACCGGAAGCTGAACTTCACAACCCACAAGAACCACACCCTGGCCAAGCTGAAGACACAGCGGTTCGCTTTAACACGGATCGCGGCGAAAACATAGGGGCCCTCGCTTCACAAAGCTAGAGATGTCTACATTTCGGTCATCCGGAGCGTACTTACATACGCCGCGTCTACCTTTGCGACACCGGCGAACACCGGCGAACACTCTCGGAGGGAAGCAAGGGAGGGGCTCCGGCATCGTCTACCAGCTAGGCAAGGAACAGAACAAATGCCCACGCGTTGTAACGGGTGCTTACCGCTCAACGCCAGTCAACGTTCTGGAGACTGAAGCCCACTGCAAACCGTTCAATGTTGTCCTAGCTGAGAGGGCGGCAGCATTCGAGGCCAGAGCCACAGGGGAGGGCAGAAATTGGCCCGAGATGTGGGGCAGGATCAAGAGGCTGATCACGAAGGCGAAAGGAGTAAGAGGAGGGCGCGAAACCCAACTAGCAGACCCCATGAGACACTGGGCGACGTGGACAGGGGGCGCCACCGCGAAGAAGAAAGCGGGAAAGTGGTGGAAGAGCTTCCAGCTACCCGAGGGCGTTCAACAGCGAACACCCAAAGTTGGCCTGCGGTGGGGGACAGCACGCAAGATCTAGGGACAACTCACAAAGCACGAATCCTCCTGCCTCGTGCAAGTGAGGTCCAGGCATATCGGACTCAGGCAATATCTGAGACGAATGCAGGTCCCGGATATCGAACCGTGGTGTGCATGTAGAGGAGGCCGGGCGGTCAAGGAAACGGTCGCTATCATTTTGGACTGCGAATTGGTAGAAGACAGGGCCGATCTCCCTCCCCTACGAGGAAGACGAGATCTAAGCGAGGCCCTGGAAGATCCCAAACGATGCCCCAGCATCATCAAGTGGCTCCTACCACGGGACGGCTGCGGGAGTATCGCCTGGCGCTATAGCTCCAACAAACGCCGGAGCACGACCAGCTGTAGCGACCACGTCACTCACAGCCGCCACCACCACAAAACTCTGTCCCTGCGCGCAACTCGTTCACTCTTCCCCAACGGAGGCTCCAGCCACAGACTTAATTCTGGGCTTGTAGATAGAACAACGAAGGGTTTTCACCGCCTGCCAGGCGGCTTTTCCCTGGGTACACTTAGAGCCTCGGACCAGTATGGTCCGAGATTAGTCATGATCAGCGCACACAGATTCTCTGTAAGACGCTTAATAGAATTTCATTCATTCATTCATTCATGAGCACTCTCCGGCTGAGATTGAGGCTTCATCGTCGCGACTTTGCGGGCTTTCTCTGCGTACGACATGCTTCCAGACGCGTCGTGGGCCGTACTTGTTTTAGTAGTAGGTGACTAATGCTTGTCCGACAACTTTGGATATGTCCTCTGCTGTATGTTGGTCCTGCTGAGTTATATATCCAGCTGAGAAAGCATCGGAACGATGGGCCAGATCCTTTAAGATATCCTTCGTACGCTTTGCTTCCGTAATAGTAGCCTCAATGCCTTGGCAGGAGGTATTAGCTACCATTGTCGTTTTGCCCGTTGTCCCACCGTATGAGATGACTTCAGGAGGAAGCAGGTGCTGCCTCTGGGTCTTTCTAGGATGACACTCCTCGATCAGGGGGTAAGGGGTTCGAGTGGCCGCGTGAAAGCGGCTTCTTGAGATAGGGGTTGAGGGATCTCTATCTTTTTAAAAAGACGCGTCAACGTCGGATTTTCGGAGGAAAGATACCTCAGAGGGTCAGAAGTAGTTTTAAGATAGCTTTTAATGGTATTATTTGGACGATCTGGAACAAAAAGTCAAATCATGAAAAAAGTTGGTGCATTCAACCTTGATGGTGACGGGACTTAGGCGAGCTTCGAGGTATACCTGCTCTACTTACCTAGGCAGTGTAAGGCATTAGTAGGGCTAATAGACCAGATTATATGATTCACCACGAGAAAACGAAGGCAGGCAAGCTTATTCATCACCTCAATCACTTTGCATGTTGGTAGTAAAACCAAATTGCTACCAAGATGAGCTCCGAGATATATCTTGTTAGACTCATCATGATCCGTGCTTTGCGAAGCTTATAGCATCAATGGATGTATACCATGCCCAAAGGAAGAATCACTCAGCCTGGAGGCTATCAGCTGTGATGCCTACTTCCCCATCATGCTCGATCCAGGGCACCGTGCAAACCGAGGAACAACAGAACACACCCCTTCATCTCAGCGTTCCTTATCAAATTGTCTTACAGAACGCCACGCCATTTTCTTCTTGGATCGGGCTCATGTTCATCATCTTATACAAACGGGAAGGTTGCTCAATGGGTGAACTTAAATATCTTGATAGAGTATCGTGAAGGTAAGTAGTGACATGCATCAAGTCGAATATCTGACCCTAAGTAGCTCTCTAGTGACGGAAGAGTTGCAGTGAGTTGGTCAAGGAGCTTCAGAGATAGCTTTTGCTAACTTTGTAGACACAATCGTCAAATACGGTGTTTATTATGTGTAGAAATGAGAGATAGCAGCCATGCAAGTTGATTTACGACAGTCTCACGCATGGTGAAACCGTGAATGGGGAGGTAACATGTTCCCAGCGCTGGGGTCACGGAATGAAACTCAGCTACGCCTGCTGGATTGTGCTTGCTGGGATCCTTATGTTGCACATATGCGGAAGTCGTAGCACCATTCCATGACTGAAGCATGTCCGAAGCTGACCTCAACATCCGCTCCATAGGAAGCAGTCAACACAACGCTTAGACTGGTCTACAGTATTGTTCTAGGTTGGTGATACAATAGCTATGTGGAGATGCATTAAGACAAGAGATGCATTAAGACAAGAACTTTCCGTTTTTTCCGGGCAATATGTGTTATGAAGCTAAACATATGCGTGTGCTGATTTGTCTCACTCAGGACGTTACTGGCTTTCCCAAAACCCGACTCTACACCATTTTCTCACATTCTTACAATACACCACATCCTGTTCACAATTTTTGTATACCTTCCTTCTTTTCCTGTCTCATGATTGATTACCCAATTTTCGACTGTGTCCTGAAATCGGTTCAACGACAGTCTGTGCCTCTTATAAAAGCAGACTTACCCACTCTTTATAACAAATTTCAGCGCTTGCATATACCTCTGTGCATAGCAGCTCTTTGTTTAGCAACTCTTTGTTTAGCAACCCTTTTTTCGGCAGTTCTTTGTCAAAAGTTAAGCAGTAGCCAAGCTCGCTTAGATCCGGCACATTTTAGTTGAGTATATATTTAGAAAGATCCAAACCAGAGCACAAATCGAACAGACGTTTCTTCGCCCGGCTGGCACAATTGGTTAGCGCGTGGGCCTTTTATAGCTCCCCAAAAGAGTTAAAGGTAGCCCAAGGTTGAGAGTTCGAGCCTCTCGTGTAAGTTCTTTCTCTTACTCCTTCATAGAATATCACACTGACAATTGGGAAGCGGGCGTAATTTCAAGCATATCTTTTTTTTTATGTTCCATTCTTCTTTTTCAGTTTTTGGATAATTGCAATCGGCAGTCACATGACTATTATACCTACATGTAGATTTTTATTCCATACCCCACGCTGCTCCTACGAAATACTCTCCACCGCCTATCAGTTATGCCGATATCCTCCTCGTTATCGTATCTTACCTTTTTTCTTTATCTTTTCTCTTCATCTTAGACAGCTCTCTCCCTCTCCCCTCCTTAACATCTTATTTATGTTTTCTTCCATATGATTCTCGCTGTCTTTTTAAGTTAATAGCTACGTATTAGGTAAGCCGGTTGCCAATTTCACCTTTTTGGAGTAATGTTTCGTTTCTGTTTTGCTTTTGCTTTATTCGACACTCCTTTATCCAGCTGCTTTCCACATCTGTAATTCCGTACGCAACGTCCCCTAGAACACATAACGCAGTAATTCACGACTTTGAGACTACAAAGTTTCATAGCCTGTGGCTCGTCGATAGCTAGACGAACGGGTAAATGACGAAGACTGCCGTCCGCACCAGCCTTTACTGCCTTCGCAGTCATGTCTGTCAATAAATCCTGTACACATGGGATTTTGGCGCTCGCAGGCGCTGCTACACGAAGAAAGGCATACATAAAAACAGGCGCGAGTGCGTTCCGAGCTGTGCAGAATATAACACGTTTGATTGCTGGTACGCCGATCATACCAATCAGAGTGGCCGGAAGATTTACAGTGAGAAACTGGTTAAACATGTCAAAACAACGACCTACATATGTCAGTGATGTGGCTGAAAATCTGTACAGAGTTAGCCTTTTTGGGATCCTTGAGAACCGTTGCAGGCGGTCGCTATAGAAGACAGCCGTTGGCGGTGTGCAGCAGGGCAAGATACCAAAGTCGACCGATACTGAGTCGAGCACCCACTTCATGAATGTAATTCACTAACTGAGCGAGGACCGCTGCACTCTGCCCTATGCGATCCACTGCCGTACAATTTCCTCTTCCTGACCCTCGTTGACATCAGAGTCTATCTTCTTCTTTCGGTAGTCAATAGCAACAACCCGCAACCGAGCTGACAGTCTTCGCTCCAAGTAAACTTGCCATAATAATAACAAAGGGCATAGCAGAGCATAGGCAACGACAATCCGTGATAGCAAGCTATAGTGTAAGTGTTCCGCATCCTCGGGAAATGGAACGGTATTGATTGCTGCCAAGGCAGTCTCATGCCTATTTGGGTATTTAGTACATGTACTACCAATGTCCTAATCGGTATTAGCGCGGATCAGTGTCTGGTACAGGCTCTAGCAATAGAGCGCGATACCCGAGAATATTCGGAGATTGTTAGTAACTGGAGCGACATGTCTTGACTCTATATTTGCGGTACCAGTCTTATACACTTATGTTCTCTTATTACCTCCAAGTTCAAGTCTCCACCTTTCCATTCCATTTCTTAAACTCCAGCCAGTGTAGCCAGTAGTACGTACGCCGTAATTACTGCAGTAATCTCACGGCTTAATACGTACTGCAGTACAATTCCAACTCAAAAATACGTACT